AGCCTCCAACGTAGCCTTCGCCTCGGAGATTCTGTCGTGCGATTTCCTCTCCATCGCCGTCAGATATCATCTTGAGTACACGGTATGCTTCCTCGAGCTCGCAAAGGCGCAGCTCTATCTGTGCGCTGCGCAGTTCGCCGTCGACGCCGTGCTCATTGTTCGGTGCGGTGTCCATCGGGTTATCTTTGGGGAAGATGTAGTCCTGCCATAGTTAGCCTAATATATTCTGTATTCCACAACCTCACATTACGCACGACATAGTGATAACCTTGCGCAATTTCTTCGTCAGTGTGATCCAGATGCTGGAACTTGGCAAAGTCTTTGTCGTCTTCTGCGTCTCCGTCGCAATTCGTATGGTTCGCTTTGCCTCCTCCTTGGGCATCCTTTCTCCGCTTCCCTCGCTTCTTGTGATTAATGAAAGTCCGCGGTCCACTCCCGTCCCTGTGCTCCACCGCGCACACGACGAAGCCGTAGCTCGCGAATTCAGAGCACAGGCTGCTGTATGCGGTTCTAGAGCCACCAAGACCATGACTAAACATCAACAGTGGGAACATGGGCTCATCGTTCATGCCCTCGGGCGGACTACCCTGCTGGTTCTTGATCTCATACCCGTCTTTCTTCATGTTGCCTTCCGGAGGCCAATGGGTCGCAGGAGGGGCGTTCCTAAAACCGCGCAATTTGGTGAGCATGGTGGTCGCGCCAAAGACGCCGATGCTTATAGGGCTCGGTATGCCAGCAAACCGCGCATAACCCTTCGCCGTCTCCATGCGCGGCCTTGGAAGCCATGTCTCGCGACTCCATTTCTTCTCTCCTCCTGGGGCGTTCCCGTTACCACTCCCGAACGAGGCTGGGTAATATAGTGTAAACAAAACAGTCTCCAACTGCAGAAGTTGCCGGCCCTTGCGCTTGATGTTGGAGATCGGACGAGGGTGTTCGACGGGAACTTCTATCTCCATGCTGCCTATAGAGTATGGTCCTGAAGTGGGAGAGAGGGTCGAGTTCGGGTAAGGGAGATGATCGCGTATCGATGCCGGCGGTCTCGTGCGTGGTTTCTTCGCGTTGGGTATCTTGCCCGAGGACGATGGATTGAGGATGCTGTGTCGACGGGCGTCATCTTCGTCACCCGTGATGCGCGTCTTTTGACGCTCAAGGAAAGACATGGTCGATGGCAAGCGGTGGTGTGAAGGGTGATCGAGGGTATCTTAGAAGAAAAAGCGCGTAACAAAACGGACGCGGTAGGACCACGCCTTAGGGTGATGAAAGCGATACAGCGATCGCGAAGAACAACGGCCGAGAATGCTTCGCCATGCTTAGCAGGCGCTAGGAGGCCCCGCCTGAAACGCTTGCTCCGCTGGCGAGACTGTGCGGATGCGCCCGGGAGACCTAGCTGTAGTGTTTGGTGTTTTGTGAGAATGCCGATGATGTCATGGGCCGGTTCCCGTGGAGCGCGTAAGTGGGGCCGATACCCCTTCGCCGTCCCTGACGAGCGCAGACACTCGGCCCACATCAAGCATGACGTGAATTTGCTGGGGTTCAATTTAAGTCATGTTGAATTGGGCTATCAACTAAGATGATGAATAACATACTTTTTCAAAAGTTGCACAGTGTGCAATATAGCACATAACGCGAGATAGACAGAAGACATGTGCGCCCAACATCTCATGGATGCAGACTCGGTCGCTTTGGCTCAGGCTATGAGGTCTTCGACCTGTCCACCACCGGATATTGATCGGTACCGAAAGTAGAGTTGAGCGACACCTGTCCCGAAATCTTACCGTTCTCCATACGGATCCACGTGTCGACCACCTTCGCATCTAGCATATCCTCCTTGACGACGATCTGACGCGCGCCCCGTGTCCAATCAGTGTAGCCACCATAGCCTGAGTGACGATTGAAGCAGATGTTCAGCCCGTTGCCGTTGCTAGGAGAGTTGCCAGGGAGGTCTTTGGCCCATTTCATGCACCAGTCTACACCATGGTCGTGACCCGAGAAAACGGCCATGAGGTTTTCCGTCTCTACGAGCGCCTTCATGAAGGGAATGTCGGCTCCACTGTACTTGCAGTTGTTCCCAGTATGATCGCAAATATCGCCCTGGTTTCCTACACTCTCCTCGTTGATGCCCGGGTTGGCTGTTTTGGAACGCCCGTTATGTTGAAAAGAATCTGCGGCGTGTATCGGAATGTGCACGAAAGCCATGCTGGGAACCGCGCGGCCATATTGCTGGCGAAGGGCGTTATTGGTATTGCGGAACCATTCGACAACCTGCAAGAATCAGTACGTGATGAAAACAGTAACAAGGGTCTCATACCTTCTCGTCGACCCAGTTCGGAACACCGACATCATCACCAGTGGGTTGATACTTCATGCCTCCTTTGCTGTCAAAGAACCACAACAGCATCTTCAGATCAGAAGCATCCGTAGAGCTGTACACCGGGACGAAATAGTTGCTCCAGCCAACTTGATTGATATCGCCAGACACGGACTGCGTCGTGAAAGAGAGTTTCTTGCCATTATTGCCCTTGACGTCTGACCACATGTGTTCGGACATGGCACTAGTGCTGCAAGTCTTGGAAGCATCATGATTGCCGAATGTTGCGCCGAAAGGCAGGTTGCGGGCGACGAGTGGAGCCACGATCTGATCGATCAACGGATTTGCGTCCTGAGGGGCTACCCACTCACAGGAGAGGAGATCGCCGTTGAGGACGACGAAGTCGGGCTGCTCGTTGTCGAGGACTGAGTTCATCACACCGATTGTTTTGAAGTCTGCGAATTGACGGCCGCGCTGAGACTCAGCTACAAGTCGTTAATATATACTAGTTTCAGGTTCATACGACGCAGAGAGATGCGATGACTTACGCTCACCGAAGTGGAGATCACTGAAGACGGAAATTGACAACTGTCTATCCGCAGCGAATTGGATGCCTGTATAGTAGGGCGTGGATCTGCTGTGAAGCACAGCGGCACTCACTGTTGAAGCCAGCAGCCAGATGAATTGGGCAGACTTCAATGTAGCCATGACGGGTTAGATAGGATGCTGTAAGTTGATGCACTTAGAGGTAGCAGGTAATCGAGCCGAAGGTGAAGCAAGATCAGTCGAAGTGAGGGTGCATTGCAGGCAAAGGAAGAGAGCGAGAGTGAAAGAATTGCTCACGCAGATAGCGAGGGTGAAAGTTAGGAAGGGGCGTGGGGGCCTACAACCCAATGGGGTCAACAGTGAAGAGCGAGCGGCATCATGGGAAAGAGCTGATTGAACTCAACTCAGGTCTCCTTGATACTTTACGTTGTAACGTCGATGCCGCCTATCTCAGATGCAGCAGTCGTGTGTGTTGTCTCAATTCCCCTACAATCTCCTTATCACGCAAAATTCAATGCCATTCCGACAGAAACACAAGGATGAACGGCCCCAACACCAGCCCACTCAAGATTGGGGCTATTTGAAGTGTGGAGGAAGGTAGGCAGGGAGGGAATGGCCGGGGGTCCGCTCTGGACGGTCGCGCTAGCCAAGACTTCCCCACCAAAATTTCCAGACGCGAAGTTGGGGATCAGTCCTTCACCTTCGCCGCCATGAACGCCGAGGCTTATTTGCGCAAGCAAGGCTGGCAGGGCTCAGGTCACTCGCTCGATAAGACCGGCCGCGGCATCAAGAAGCCGCTCCTCATCGCGCATAAGAACGACCAGCTAGGACTCGGCAAGAAGAAGCAGGCGCATACGACAGACGACCAGTGGTGGTTGCGCGCATTTGACCAGAGTCTGCAGAGCATCGGTACAGGCAAGGACGTATGCAGTCATGCACCACTGCGCGCGATCAAACAGCTAATTTCCCGCTCAGAGCACACTCGACCAGATCCGCACCCAAGGCATCTATCGCGGAGGTCTCTATGGCTTCTTCGTAAAGGGCGAGATGATCGGGGGGACGATTGGAGAATCCTCAGCGACCACCACAGACGCATCGAATCCCGCTTCCGGCGCAAGCACGCCTCCCACATCCGCATCCGACACGGAAACGCCCGCGCCTACCAAGGAGAAGTCCGACAAGAAGAAGAAGCGCAAGCGAGACGAGGGAGATGCCTCGGTTAGCAAAAAGGCGAAGAGCGACGCGGTCGAATCGAAGAATGAACAAAGTCCGGCGGCAGTCACGGGCAAAGACCTGAAGGCCGTAACGAAGAAGCTTGCGAAGCTGAAAACCGAAGAAAAAGCCGAGTACGAGACGCGCGCGAAAGCAAAGGGCCAGACACTCGAGCAATACGTCCTCCGTCGCATCCAGAAGAAGACAGAAACGCGCGCTCCCAAGCCGGTCGAAGTCGTGGAGGAGAAGAAATTGAAGTCAGATAAAAAGGAGAAGAAGAGTAAGAAGGCGCAATAACCACGAAGATACAATGGTGTAGATGGAGAGAACAGAAGACGATCACATCACTCTCAGGGTCGGCGCAGGATGCTCGCAGCCTTTTCAGGGTCGACTGATCCGTGAAGCGCACGTGGGAGCTATCCGGAGAGCAGAAGTAAAAGGATCCTGGCTTGAGGGGCTATATACCGCCGATCCATCTTCAACGAGTCGGGCGTTATCGTCAGGAATGATACCCAAGTCTGTAGGGGCCGCTGACGACCACCCCATGGAACCTGGTCTGAATGCAAAACAAGGGCCACAACGAGAGCACCGGAGCAGAGAATTAACCGGAAAGCGCAACGTTGTAGAGTTGGAACTTATAGGCGCATATCGTACGTGCGGAATACTGTATTATACCAATATCGCGATGTTGTCACAGACGAGCATTATTCGATCACTCAAATAAACAACATGAACAGCATCCACATCTTACATTTCACCCTCATCTCATCCCCGCTATTATACACTGCTTCGTCCCACCAAAACACACAAACAACCCCATCGTAAAAATCGTCATCATCAATCGAGAAGGGAAAGAAAATCCACCAAACTCATCGACAGGACAAAGACCTACCAAAAGCAGAAGTTTGTCAATAAATCACCTCGCCCAGCTAACTCAACCCGTCTTCCCACTCAGAATCCAGGGCCTCTTCTCCCAGAAATCATCCTTGATGATGTCCACGTGCTCCATCAGCACTGTCGCCTTACTCCGCTTCTTCTTATCTTTATCCCTCTGCGTACGGCTCATGGGTACGGGCCATCCTTCATTCGCCTGTTGAGACGCAGTAGCTGCAGCCTTACCATTCGTTTCCGATTGTGGTTGTTTGCCTTTGTCCGGCCTGGCCTTTGAAGAGTTGGACTTGGAGGGTTTGGATGTGCTGGTGTCTTTGTTGCGACTGCTGGTGGACGGGCGACTGGTGGGAAAGGCTTGGGAACTTGGTCCTGCGGTGGATGTTGAGGAGATTAGGGTGTGGAGATCGGGGCCTGAATGAGGGTATGGTAAGGTTGCTGATGTGGGCGCAGACTGTGTGGGTGTGGAAAAGGCGTGGAGTTCTGCAATACCTGGGTGAGAGATGTGGTCTTGCGTACCCCAGCCTTGACCCGCTCTGTTGTCTGAGTCGCTCGGCCTTCGCTGAGGCGACTCGCTGCCGCTGATGGCGTACTTGCTCCAGTCTTGCCGTGGGCTGTTACCCTTGACCTTCTCTCGCGTGCGCATCTCCTCTTCTGCGCTCATTGGCGGACTGGGCAGAGCCTTGTTCTTTTGGATCGGAGGGCTGACTTTGCGGGGCGGCGTCGATGTCGCATCTCGGGGGCTAACGATACTCTCCTTCTCATCCAAAGTATCTCTCGTGGCTTTGAGTGTTGACGTTGATCGATGGACCGGTAAAGACAGTTTCCGCGGCTTGCTGTTGGCAGGAATGCTGGATATTCGCAGTGGTATAGACGGGGGCTTCACTGCAGGTGTGCTAGATGATGCAAAATATGAAGGCAGAGAAGGCTGGCTCGGCGATCGTTGTTTGACACGCGAAGGCTTCACTTGAGGTGGGTATGAATGTGTCAAAGAAGCAGAAGCGGAGTGGGAGAATCCATGGCTGGCCGCTGCAGTGGCATGGTGGCGGTAGCCTGCTATAGGAAAATCTGCGGGAAAATCGCCCTGCGGTGTCACTGGGGAGAAGTTGGTACGTGTTGTCGGATTCGGTTGGCTCAATGACATCGGAGGCTTGCTGCTTGGCTTCAATATTGGTGGGGACAGCGGCAAAGGCGTCAACGATGGTAGATGTTGCTTGCCGTTCACGGAGCCATTGTTGTTCCAGGTGGCAGTCGTTGGCGGGGAGAGCGGCATGGACGAACCTGGCATGTTACCCTCACCATCAGAGCCAATCGGATTGGACCTGAGTGGGTTGGGGAATGCTGATCTCGAAATCGTAGGTGGCGATGGCGGCGGTGATGGCGTCGATGTTGTGGAGAGAAAGGTTGGACGTCTGCATAGGCCTGGATTCTCCATCATCTCTTTTTTGTCCGGCAGATAGGGGATAGACCTCTCAATAGACTGTGATGCCCGGTGATTGGACGCTCGCTTTGGCGTTGGCTGAGCGATTGGTGGCGTTGGGAAGTCCGACAGCACGGGTGACGACAATGCCTCGGTCGGTGGTGTAGGGAAAAACTGCCACGGTTAGATACGTGGACGTGAATGCTGATGGTGCTGAAGCATCTCTTACATCTCTGTACAGCACCGTGCCTTTCTTGAAGCACTCTGGTTCGTTGTTGTAGTTGATTCCGAACTCCTTGAACAAGATCTCGTTCTTGTCGGATGACACTGTGCCTTTGAGTCTTTGCTCTGCTTCTCGCGCTCCCATGCCACCCTGCTGAACAAGGGTCCAGAAAGTGGTGTTGTAGAGATTGTTGATATGACCTGCACGATGGTCAGAGCCACTCTACGACCGACACCAAGAGCAAGCAAAAGATCCTGTCTAACAAGAAACGGCAGGAAGAAGGTGATGCATCAAAATACTTACAATCGGCTTGCCGCCAGCTCATATAGTGTCGAAGGTTGATATCGCTTGGGTATAAAACCGCACGCCCATCGAATGTCGGTAGGGGTGCTGTGAGTGGCTTATCCGGAAAGTATGTTGACCAAGAATACACATAGTAAGCAGTGAAAGTCGAGACAATCGTCGTAGTCAGTTTGCTAAACGGGGATCAGTTCTAGACGAATGACCACCGGAGGTGATAAAGTTGCACCAATAGGAGGATTCCCGTACCTGGCTCGTCGTTCGAATAAGGCGCAGTCCTTGTGAAAGACGAAACTGCGACCCACGTCAGCTAAGCCGCCCCGAAACATGCTGCCCCACCCCTGTGTATACCGCGCTGGGAACATTGGGCAGCTCGATGGAGGCATAATCAATCTCAAACACAACGTGCTCGAATAAAAGAATGCAACATACCTGTATTCGTCGCTGTTGCCAAATGCAAGGACAAGGTCGGGCAGTTCCTTCATGACCGCTACGGCTGCAGCATTCATGACATCAAGGCCATTCTTGTCGTTTGGCTTGAGGAACTCATATTTGGACGTGAACCTGTTCGCGCGTTGTTAACAATGGCCCTTGTTGGTGTACAATAGCCGAGATGTTGGCCTGGGGCAGCAATTCCGTTCATGCAACATGGTGACGGGTACCTGCATATCCCGGACCAAGAAAGTTTGCCACGGCGCAAGTGAGGGAGAGAGAATTGGTGAGCGTACTTGGAAAAGCCACGTCCGTCTATCCGTACTACGATCCAGGTGTTGGGAATCAGATTGTCGGGCTGCTCGAACCCGCGCACGTATTCGAATCTGGAGTCCGTTAGTTGAGGTCCGGTGAGCTCGTGCAGGCGGCCAGCTCTGGACGTTGGCGGCAGCTTCCCCACCCGCTTCGAAAAGCTATTGATTACTCACTTGCTGTTCGCCATTTATGGCCTCTCTGCAGATAACAACCTTTCTGCCCCTGCACAGGCGCACGGCATAGTCTTTGAGCGATGAAAGACAAGAATTGACGGACGTCAGCGTGAGCTTGTTTGCTGCTCAGGAGTGCGTAAGTGTGGTTTTGAAGGCTGAGAGTCCGGGGCTTAGGCTAACCCGGTGTGCAGTACAGCAAAAGACGGTGTTTCAGGTTTGCAGATGTAATGCAGCTACCGCGACAAGCTTCTCGAGCCGACTGAAGCGCGGATAACGAGCGCGCAATTGGCACCCTCCGAACTGGCTATCATGCATTGCGTGGGTTACCCGCGGGTCGCAAAGTCTTTGAACATGGGATGAGTCCCCACACTCCGTTCCGGACGATCTGTGGCGCTCGGGCCAACGCCTTCCTCTCCAACAAAGCGACGCGCCCGCCGACACACGACCACCACCTTATCGCTTTCATGCACCAAGAGAAAGAGCTTCAGTGTACAAAGCAGAGTTGTACGCTTCCTTGCGCCAAGCCACTCTAGCATCTTCCCCTCATCGCACAGACAGACGCATGAAGCACTCGGACATGCGGCATCTCCCGACCCATACGTAGTTGCCGGAGCGGAGCGAGCGGTGAATGTGCTCAGACGCGTGCCTGTGCTTCTCGCAAATAACAGCCACGTGTGGCACCTGCTACGGGCTTCATGCTGGGAGGGATGGCGTAGCCTGACGCATACGGGACACCGGTTCTTTAGGAATCCAACTAAGGCCAGCCGCTACGCCATCCTCAAACAACAACACCATGCAATGTATACAAACACTACCGAAATCTTTCCGGATAGCTCCTATCCACCGGTTCTATAGCCTCTATCGCCACAATATACGTCTCAACCTCCGGATCCTGCAGCAGCGTCTTCGTCAAATCGCCGCGTTGAGGATTTAGGTTGTTGCCAAAGATCCGTGGGGGGATTCATACAGCAGCATGAACTCTGCACCCTTGTTGGTTCCTCCTGAGCTTTGTCCTCCTCCTTTAGCGATAGCCTAGCGAGAGTATTCTCCTGGTGATGGTTACCAAAGTGCGTCAGCCACTCAGCGATCGGCATACTCACAATTACAATTAATCCTCAGCAGCACCAGGCATTACCATAAACAAAAAGCCGGGCCGGCGCATCAAAACATCAATCTCGGCCTTGTTATTCTCCGCTATTTACTGCAGGTCCCGTCCCGCACATCTCAACTTTGGATCGTCGGTCGATCTCGTGTCTTGGCATATCTATGTTCCAAAGACAGCATGTGAAAAGGGCCGTTCTCACGGCTCGGCCAGAAACAAACGTGGTAGCCAAGGTTTTTTATCTAATTCTTACACGACGGTTATTGGCGAAGTTGGCGTCATGAGTCTATGACGGGGTTAGTCTATGCCTGTTAGTATCAATTCTAGATGGCATACGACAGCTAGAAGCAAGACTTTCTGGAGAATCACCCCCAAGCCCGACCTCCACGTCGAGATTTTGTGTTCGCGCTCGTCCTGTGATGATCCGATTGCAACTACTTCGAGTGGTACGTCGGGTGGTTGTGTATGTGATGACTCTGCGATGAGAACGTCGACATCAAGATGAAAGCATGTTGCAAGACATTCATTTTCCTCGAGAGAATAAAGAGCTCACAAGACTATATCCCAGACGTCCACTATTTCTGTGCATCGTGCGCCAACCCCGCCGCTCTCCAAAAACCGATCTTCCTTCGCCTGTCCTTGCGCACCGCACCGATCGGTTACCGATGAGACGCAGTCGTCTGGCGTCAAGCACTATCTCGTGATACCCCATGCGGCTAGACTTAGACTGGCTGGTGATATCTCGCAAAATACTTTTGTGGCTGATTTCTTGTCAGAACTCCAACAATCTGCATATGTGCTACCAGGCGTCGAGTGCCTATCCCGATAGCAATGTGACATGCACAGAAGTTGGTGCACAGCTGTGGACTACATGACAAGAACACATGATTCTCGTCCTTCCCGCGGCTTCAGATCAGGTACTCCAGGGACCGCTTCGAGGTGGGACACGAGACAATGTGGAGACTTTTAGACTCGACGATTGAGATGTCGAATGAATTAAGCAAAGTGCCAAAGAAATTCGTTTCAAGGCACCAATGCGTTAGATCGGAGGCCGAGACCCGGTGTCGGCGGGTCGATGGATAAAGGTGCCAGTTGTGGCATCAAGGATTTCATCATCAACACCAAGTCGGCGGCTTTGAACGGCTTCTGCATGATGCGATCCTGCACAGCCTGTTAGCCTAGAAACGCTTTCGACGGTTATCATATACTTACTGCTCCAGCAGCAATAGCGGTATCGATCTGCTCTTTCCGAACGTTCGCCGTGACAGCAATCACAGGCAACCGTTCAGAAGACAGCACTCCCTGATCTTCCTCCCTTTTCCGTATCTCTCGCATCGCGCCAAGCCCATCAAGGACCGGCATCTCCAGATCCATCAACACGATGTCAAACGTTTCTCTCTCCAGTATCTCAAGCGCCTCCAGGCCATGGTTTGCGACGGATACGTGGCATCCCGCTTTCTTAAGTTGTTTGCCGAGCACTTGCTGGTTGATGATGTTGTCTTCCACCAACAGTACGTGGAGTTGCCGCATTGCCGCATCCTCATTGCCGGTTTGCTGAAACATCTCTTTGAGGGTCCTGGGCTTCCATTCTACTCTTCGCGTCTTGACGTAGAATCCAAAAGTCGAACCTTGGCCCTGAACGGATGACACGCCTATTTCACCGCCTTGCTTCTCAGTAAGCTCCTTTGAGATGAATAGACCCAGCCCACTGCCGCCGTATTTGACATGCGTCTTCACGTTCGCTTGGCGGAAGCGCTCGAATATCTTGTGAATTTCCTTCTCTTGCAAGCCAATTCCCGAGTCCTTGACGGTGAACGCAAGATAGATTTCTTCACCGGTGCCCCAATCTGGATTGCTTGTAACATCGCCGTCTTGCTTGCCCTCAGTAGCCCAGAACATGTCTTCAGGAAAGAGTTCGCGGGGATCTGAGGTGCTGGCGCCGTAGCGGATGGAGAGGGCTGGCTCTTTCGATGGTTTGACGAACTTGATGGCATTCGTCAGTAGATTGATGAAGACTTGTGTCACGCGGGACGGATCCAGATGAAGGTGGTCAATGCCTAGACTCAAGAACGACGTGTCAGGTGTGACACTGTAAGAGATGTTATGCGTCTTCATCTCAGCTTGGAAGATGTTGACGATGGATTCCACGAGCTTTGCGGGTTTGACTGCGACGGGCGTGATGGACAAGAGCATGGAGTCGAGCTTACTCAAAGTAAGTACATCGTCGATAATACGCTTCTGATGGTTTGCACATTGCATGATGACGTTTGCGCTTTGTATGTTGTCATTGAGAGTATCGAGACACGGTACAGGTATATCGGCGAGCTGCGTCTGGCACTCGACGACCGCGTTGGCAATCGCATCTGCGCAATGTACAATGGCGCTCAATGGGTTCCGCATCTCGTGTGAAACCACGTCAATAAAGGCTTCCTGCTGTCTTTTTGCTTCTCTTGCTTCGGCGGCTAATCGAGCCTGGAAGGTCTGCGCCCAGCACAGCCTGCTAATGTCAGTCGTACATGCCATTACGCTTCTCACGCTTCCATGCTCGTCGCGGTACGGGAAGGCCAGAACCTGGATCTGGGCGGGTTCGGGATCCCCAGTAGGAGGCGTGTACATGCGCTTCATGCGCAAGTCGGCTGTGACGTGGTCGGCGCCTCTAATCAAACGCTCCCAAACATCATCAGCTTTTACCCGATCATCCTCGTGATATGCGTCAAGGAAGGCAAGACCGATGGCATGTTCCGAAGGAGATTTCCCAGCTAGCTCATAATAGTGATCGTTGGCCCATAGCATATCACCATCAAGAGATACATGGCACATGCCAACAGACGCGTGATCGATCAGATGGCGTAGCTTGAGATCACTGAAAGCCAGATCAGTCTCGAGCTGCTCTTGACGCTTCTTGGTGGATTCATTGTCAACGGCAGAAGATATGATACTTGACACCATGCGGCCTAGGTCCCGGATAAATTGCGTGCATATATCGTCGTGGGGGCGAAATGGATTAGTGCCGAAGACGAGGTAGCCGAAAAGGCGTGTTCCACTCATGATGGGCATTACGACAATCTTCTTGGAAGGCGCGCTCCAACCTCTCCACGAGGTAGCAAGAAATCGTGCATCATGCTCGATGACCATAGTGTCTATGCCAGCTCGTCGCAGATCTGGTATTAGTCCTTGCTCACTGTCGATAGTGGCTGTCTGGATGAGAAGGTGGTGCCCCTCGGGGAAACCAAATTGGCCATGGAGTATCAACTCGTTCGAGCCTGGGGTTGTGTCCATTCGGTAGAGCATGGACATGGGCACATCGTTGGCGTTGGTTTCGAGCGTGGTGAGAATGTGAGAGCAGACTGCGTCGACACATTGTGAGGGCACGGAGGCGAGAGTATTCAGGCAGGTGGTACGGCGGTCTGCGAGCTTCTGGCTTGTTACCTCGTAGCTAGTTGGGTCAGCTGTGTATTGGAAATAGGTCACTGGGAAACGCGTTTTCTAGCTTGGTTACTACACGTAACTCACGTTGTATTCATGAAGCCCTCGATAGCGCCTGGCATGCCGACTGGAACAAAGCCGCCAGAGAAGAAGGCCTCCTCTTGGTAGCCTCTGCGCTCGACAACCGTGGGCATGGCAGAGCTGTAATTGACTCCAGTGCCTGTCCGCTTGGCCTGTATGAAGTACTGGCTGATGGACGGCCAGAGATCGGGAAAGCCATCCTGGAAGAGGGAGCCCATGAGGTTGGGGTGAGCGCCCCCGGCCAAGGGAGCATACGCCTCGTTGTATATAGCAGTGAGGTTGGAGATGTCCTCTCCCCACCAGAGGCAGGCTCCGCGCGAATCGGCCAGTACATAACTTGCGAACATGCGCAGCGTCGGGCTCCACGTGCTCAGTGGCCCCAGGCGGCTGCGCGACCAGTCCGTGGTGCGGAAGAAGGCGATATGGTCGGTCTGAGGTAGCGCCGCGGTCCAATCGTATGCGCATTCATCGTCGGGGTTCATGGGAGGAGCGCCGAAGCCTTCTTCGTCGGGGGGAGGAGTGAGCATCTGCATGTAGCTGCCGGCGCAGAGGTGGCAGTCGCGAGAGAGACACAAAGTGGCTGCAGCATCCTCAAAAGGAATCGACGTTTGCGCACACAAGACGCGGTCAGGACCCGGTTATCTTATTCCCATGCGATGCTTCGGTTTTGGCTGCGGCGGTGCTTCTTCGGCCAGTACTGGCGTCGATTGCATGTGGGCACGGGGCACAATCGAAGATGCATCTCATACCTCCCCTCGCACATGCCGATCTGCCGAGATTCCCATCGCCTCGCCCCGGGCCACATGCCCTTTGAACCCATCTGCATACCCTCGTACCAACCCTGTACATCTACATCTCCCGAGACACTCTGTATGGGAGCAAACGAAATTCCGACCTCGCGCAGCAGCAAGACAGCCGCTGTTTGGCGGGGCAAACCTTCTCCTCTACAGGCATTGCGACGCCACAAGCGGGTGATCCTTTTTCTTCATCGACCGATCACCGTCTTTTCGACATGAAGAACAGGGGGCGCTGTATCCGCCGTGTTTGCAGCCTCGCCGAATGCAGCTAGTTGCCCGTCGCTGCCCATCGCATTCACGCCCGATACTATTCCAGTACTGCAACCCACTCGCTCGTATCATGTCTGTCCGAACCGAGCGTGTCTGACTCACCTCGCCGCACTCTTCACCGGATGCAACAGAGATGCCAATTCCTGTTTGTATACGCAGGGATGCCTGTGTACTGCATTGCTCTGCTACCGTGTTACGAATCAAACTGTAAGATTGATGAGAGCCTACTGCTGTCGGCCAACAAGAATTCCTCCTCTTTTCGAATATTACAACTGTCGACGTTTGGTGTCTCCAGGGTTAGTTCTGCTCCACTGGCGGTTTGTAAGCGTTACGTCATTTCGTCGAGATAGCCGTTGAGTGGTTACTGGCTCAATCGCCCAACCAGACATTACAAAGCATGTCAAAATTGATCTCTAGCACCACTTGATATAGGCCTGAGATACGAAACACATTTTCATGTAAGAACAAAACTCTATTGGTTACACATTCATACTGAGCCTCACTTTCCACAATGTCTGTCCTTATCACGGGAGCCTCTGGGTATCTCGGTGGCTCGCTGCTTGCGGCACTGCACAACGCCGTACTTCCAGAGCACGAAGACATATATGCTCTTGTCAGATCTCAAGAGCAAGCGGAAGCGGTGAAGAAGTATGGCGCGCGCCCTCTCACTCTCGATTTACAAGATGAAGAGAGTGTTATCAAGAGCATCGTCGATGCGCAGATATCCGTCATATTCTTCCTTGTTGACGCTATGAACTCCGATATGCAGGTCCCCATGATAAAAGCCCTTGCAGAAGTCAAGAAGCAAACTGGACGCGAAGTCCACTTTTTGCACACCAGTGGCGCGAAGATCTTCAGCGAACATGCGGGGATGCCTATCGATCGACCACTTCCCGATACAGATGCTGATCTGTACAAACTACAAAAGAGCTCCAAGGCTCCTCATCAACTCTTAACACAGGTATGAGGCAACTACGTGCACGCGGCTCAAGGTTCAATCTCTCTTACTCAAATAACCTCAGGCGACGAACACGAACAATGTCATCATTGAAACGGCGGAGAAACATGGAGTCCGCAGCTACATCTTCATTCCATGTATCGTATACGGCGAAGGCAAAGGTTTTGGTAACAAAATCTCGATCCAAACCACAGCTGTAGTCAAAGCCGCGAGCGGGGCCGGCGCCGTGTACGATGTCAACCCGGAAGGCTGGGTGGGTTTTGTTTAATAGTCATCAAGCCAACCACTCGCATACTAACGATGTACTCAGACTTGGCCCGTGTGTCATATCGACGATAACTCGAAACTGTACGTTGAATTGCTGAAGACTATTCTACGCGACGAGAATCCAGATCGTGGCGAGAATGGGTACTATCTTGCTTCCTCCGGAAGTGTGGCCTGGTACGACATATACGCCGCAATGGCGAAAGCGCTTGCGGAGCGTGGTATTATCGACAGCCCAGAAGTTAAGAAAGCGGATGATTTTGCGCTGGATAAGATGGCGCAGGCCTTGGGTTGCCCTAAAGAGCTTGTTGCAGTTCAGCTGGGTGGAAAGTAAGTCTGCTTGTATGATCACAAGGATGGACCAGATGTTGACACCAGACACAGATGCACACTTGAAGCGAAGAGGGCCTATAGCTTAGCTTGGAGACCAGACCATGAACCGAAGCACATCTTGGAGGCGGCAGATGCAGAGGTAGAGCTTATCTTGAAGCATCTATGAGCAATGAGCACTATAGTAATGGGCATTGCGGCACCTCATTCAAAGGAAAACTTGAGCAGGTCTGCAGACTACATCAAGTCAAAAGCGTGCAAAGTAGATAACACAACGCTAACCTAGACTGCAGGGTGTTTAGTGTTTTCCTAGGTTGGCGTGGCGGCATGGTATAGCTTCGAATTGTAGCTACGTTTTCCATACTTGATAACCTGGAAGTTTCGATGTGCCAAAGAACAAGAGGACAACCCGATGAAAGGTCCGCAGTTACTTTTCCAGTAAATCTCTTTTTCTCCCGTACTTAAGTCCTGACTTGTTCGTCTCCATCCACACTAATTCATGCCCTTTCTCCACCAGACGAAGATGCCGATCCCATAATAATGCCCAACTTTGCCTCCGTATACCTCTGCTGCGGCTGCTACAAAGCACAATTAGCGACTTCACCCTAACGTGCCCCCTCAACAACTTACCTCCACAAACTTCGGTCCATCGTACTCGCGCAACAGCTCAACGTACTCCATCAACGGCCGCATGATCGAGGCATCAGCGTTCAACGCTGGACCACTGAGCGCAACGTCCAGGTCATATGCCAAGACGACGACTGGACCGCGAAACGGCAGTCCAAGGCTCTTGTTCTCTACAAGTGCACGCTCTCCCTTCGCATTCATGTCGTAATTGATCTGGATGAAGTACGGAAAGTAGCGGTTGTGGAATGATAGTTTCTTGATCTCCTGGGACGGCACACCGGGGAAATGATAACTAAGGCCGCTTACCGTACCTTCCTCATTGAACGCCAGAACGGAGAAGACAGGTTTGGCTGAGTCAACGGGGAAGTGCAAAACGCGTCGCATGTTGTTGCCAATGGGTTGTTTGATGGCTTTGGCGTAGGGCTTGCAGGCGAGCTTGTGGCTGGAGACCCAGTCGCGTTCTTGACAGGCTGGCGAGCAATAGAGCATGCTCTTGCATTGGCCACATATCTTCTTCGCGCCAGGAGCACGACAGGAAGCGCACTGATCTGCGACAGTAGTGGGTAGAGGAGGGACCGGGATGTAATCTTCGAGCATCAACGGATAGCCAAAGTCCTGAGATGAGTATGGTGTGATTGAGGACATGGCGAGCTGTCGGAGATTCGAGATTATCAGACTGATATCAGTAATGAAGTTTAATTGGAGAAGATACCCTCGCTCGAAATTTAGAATGGAATAGAGAGATCAACAAGCAAGCTGTGAGGTCAAAGAAGTATACTGACATTAGTTGTACGGCATACAAATGAGGTCGCATGACCTCTATCTCACCGCAAGTGGCATACTGCCTTTACTTGAGAGCCTTGACCAAGTACCCAAATTATCTCAGTCTGGGCGGTATAGCCACTGCGATGGATGAAAGAAGACATCAAAATCCACACCGCCAAACACGCCAATCGCCGGAAATAGGTCGCACTCGCCCCTCAGACCAGTATTGCCCCCCTCGCTTCGCACGTCGAGCTCCTCGTTGCCATCCCAGCCACCTTCCTTCACTCCATTACGCGTAAAGAACACGTCGATATCTAGCATCCTTCCCTGTTGAGACTGCTCATATGATGGCGGGTTGCGCGGAACCGAGAAGGTGATACCAATACCCACAGTATCGCCGGGTTTGAAAGCCGAGGTGAAGTCGATACCGCCCCATGCATCATTGACGTACTTTCTTCCATCATCTCCATGCACTCCAAGACTGGCACGCTCCCAACCTGGGAGACGGAACGTAGGATAAGGCGGCGCAACGAAGCCTATCGCGATACCGGCGTCTGCTTCCGAGAAGGAGAAGCCACCGCGACCGATTCCAAGGACTTTGAGTTCAAAGTAGACAGTCTTGGAGCGTTGTGTGTTAAGCGGTGAGTCCCAAAACACGCTGTACATGGGCAGATTTGTGAGGATACTCGAATCCCTGCAGTTCGCGTGGGTGCGACAACGCCAGTGGCCTGCTTGAGGTTGAGGGAGTAAATCGCCCAGATACGACGGCGCCTTCAGTAGAGCAAGCTGACCGTTCTGAATCGCAGCATGAGTGCTAGGCTGCAGGTTCTGCGGTGGCCACAAAGGATTCATGTTGGTCCAAGCCAAGGCACGATCGCCATCTTCAGTAGATGCATTAGCAGTTGGAGAACTATCGTAACCCATCGAAGGCGGTGGGGGTAGAAGTGAAGTGTCAGGTACGACTGTCCAGTCGTGGTATGGCGGAGGATCCCAGCTAGGAGGGGGTTGCTGTGGATACGAAGGAGGTGGTCCTGCCGGGGGCGCGTAACCTGAAAACTCTTGTTTAGGTGGAGGCCCTGGAGGAGCAGTATAAGAAGACGACCCGTGGCTCGGTGGAGGACCTGGCGGAGCGGAGTACCCAGATGAGGATGAAGCCTGGTTCGGCGGCGGGCCAGGCGGTGCTTGATACTTCTCCGTCGGCGCTATGTTATGCTGCTGGTCTTGAGGTGAGTTGTAGTAAGGGTTGTTTGAATGCTGATTGTGTTGGTCTGTCCCATATGACGGCCTTGAAGAGCTGTCATCGCCCTTTATCTTGTCCTTGAACTTCTTGAACATGGTGGGGCTGGAAACCTAGAGCAGTGCCGAAAAATGCCCTATCCTAATTTGTTGTATAAGTAGAAGGTAGTCGAGAAAATGCTGATCAGGGGTGAGTAGTATTGTTGAGTCACATACTAGGAAAGCGGGCGCACTTGAATGATGATGTAGCGAAGGTGGCCGGTTGTGGCTGTGCACGCGCAACAAAGCCCGAGTTGATTGTCACCTAACCGTCTACGTCATCGTTGTTGGCTTGGCAGGGTCCTCTAAACCCCGGCCACAATCACGGATGCCCGCGTCGCGCTCCAACAAACGCGCGTTGAAAACGCGATGGAAGTCTGGCAACCAGACCGTTCGGTCACGCATCCCCCGCATACCTTCCAGCCACCGCTTTGCCGCGGGCCCTTCCTTCTATGAACCTCACCGGAACCTCGACTTCCACATCTCTCAACCAATCGCCCATCCCTTTAGCGAAAGCATCCAACCTGCTACTCCCGCTGACGCCTCTGCCCAATACCCCATAAACCACGAAATGCACCGCCATGATACCTTCGAACTCCACCCTTTCCATGAAAAAGCTGTCGTTCCAGCTCTCTCCGAACATTTCCTTGAGTTTGGGCATGGTGAGAAAGCTGCGGAGCCAGTCCCAGCTTTCGGCATACAGGGGTGATGACTGTGGGTAGGAGGAAGGTAGGCTCGTGGGTATAAAGAAGCCAATGTTCGCGTTGCCACCTTTGTCGCCGGAGCGAGCGAGCACGATGTCCCCCAGCCGCGCACGCGTCATTGAGCCAAAAGAACGAAGATCCACGGGACTCGCAGTTTCATAGCTTTCGCGCCTCCTAATCTCTTCTGACTTCGGTGGCGGCGTGGTCATCAGCGTCCTTGTCTCGCCAGGGTCGAGAAGATTAATCGCCGTCTTCAGCTTGCTCTGCGACCAAATCGCTGGATAGAAGCTCAAGTACGGTTTCGGTATCGCCGTGCGATGATCCATCGTACTATGAAAGCCTGAGTAGTGCTGCATCGCAAAGTCTGCCAGTAGGCTTGCCAGGCCCAGGTTCACGTTCGGATCGCCGCTCTCCGCGAAGATCCGACAATACGATGTACTTCTGAGCTGGCTCTTCGGGTCAGACTCTGGCATGCCTATGCGCTGGAATTCCAAGAAGTCGAATCTGTCCAGTATGCCCTTCTGCTTCAGGCCAAACTTGATCATGCGTTCCCAGAGATCGAATTTCTCAGACGTGGCGTAACCAGTTGCATTGACGACAATCTCAGACTGGTAACCTGCTTGATAGAAGATTGCGAGCTTCGTAGTGGGTGGGGGTGGTTTGCCTTTGACGCCCCACAAACGAACTCTTTCTGAATATTAGCGAGATCGCTTCTGCCAGCATGACATGTAAGTGAAAGATATTCGAGCGTACCTGTTCTTGCCTTCAGCTTTGACTTGAACCTCATCCAAGATAGCCTTGACATCGCTATTCAGGTACACGTTGCCCTGAAGCTCGTATAGAAACTGACATTTGACAGTGTCTTCTGTAACAAAACCTTTCCTAGCTTCGTGCTTCGTGATCACACATGTTCCGTCCTTTTCGACTTCTGCGATCCCGAAAGTGATGTCGTACAGGTCATCCAGCGGATACTCGTAGAAGCCCGCAAAATTCGAGCCTGTTACATAACCACTGCATTCGATGAGATGGCCTGCAATCAGTGCTCCTGCAAGCGCATCGAAGTCGGTTTCACGCCATGAGTACCAGTACCAAGCAGCGCCGATGACAGGGCTGGCGTCTGCAACACGACCAGCAATAATAATGTCTGCGCCTTCTTCGAGACCTTTGACGATTTCGCGAGCGCCGAGGTAGACGTTCGCACTGACAATTGGTTTGTCGCTTTTCAGGACGTCAAGCGTGTGGTCCGCGACCGTTACCTCGCTGTTATCCGAATCTAGATGCGGCGGTAAACCTTTCTCTCTGATATCCTTCATTTCTTCCATTAGGTTGTCACCAGACACGTACGCGACCTTCAGATCATATCCTTTGCCTAAGACCTGCTCGTCTGTCAGTTAACTAGACCGTGTAGCGACTACATAGATGAGACGAGACTCACGAGTTCATGCACCTTCTCCGCCAATCCTTTCGGATTGTGCGCACCACCATTGACAACGACTTTGATTCTCTTCTCGTTCAACAAATCAATCGTCTGCTCGATACCATCCCAAGCTGTTTTCTCCCATCCAGGATGCTTTCCCGCTGCATGTGCCTGGGCGTTTTCCGCGATGTTGACTTCGGCAAGATAGTCACCTGTAATGAAATCTGTGTCTCCTAGCTCTGCTTGGTAGAGCATGTGATATCCGGGATCCCCTTACATTCGTCAGACTGGTTTAGGATAGGTAGGGCTGGTATCACCTTTGTAGCCTGAGCAGTTTGCTATCCTCACTGGACGGTTTCCGCGCTGCGCTGTCCATCTCGTGCTGTAGTCTGATGATGCCATAGCTACTGCTTCAACAATGATAGTCGATAAAGGGTTTGTGGTGCAATCTTAGGTGTATTCTGGGATTAGATCGCTAACGCATGTGCATGCGCGTAAAGCAGACATGCATTATCGCGATACAGCCGCAACTTAAATCCTCCCACCAAACTTCCAATCACAAACATCTCCACATCAGACTGCTATGTCAACAGACCTGATCCTCTTCTTGCGTAACGTGTATCCAGATTGCGGGGTGATACCCCACCTTGTCGGGTAGATTGAGCTAGTCGACTTACTCGCCCGAGGGCCGAAAACGAATTGCCGTCCATCTACCATGATCGGCAGTGCTTGAGTAAGACCGGTGACAACTAGGACGATGGAACTGGTGCGCCGATTGGCGTTGCTGGCACCATGTTACAAGGCGACCAAGTAGCTGATGGGGTCGAGTGGGACGTGTTTCGGACAGCGCAAACGATAAAGCTCATGCTATCCTCGTCTCGTAGCCACAATCTTAGTTCTCTCAAGTCGAATTCAAGGCTCTACAACTATTTAAAATGTCAAACACTATGACGAACGGCCATACTACCGGCACAAATGGTAGCCAGAAGGACTACTCTGTCCCTCGCGAAACCCAACACATCTTCGAGAAGGGCATATTGAGCAATCCCCTCATTGCTCCAACATTACCCACCGACATCGCAGAATGCGCAAAGAAAGTCCAATTCAAAGGCACCGATAAGCCCAGTATACCGATCAACTGGCGCTTCGCCGAAAGCATCTCGGCACTCAAGGGGCTGGAAGCCGCCATGATCAACGTCCTTTTGAAGCAGAAATATGGACTGGAACCCCAAGACGCTGTCATAGATACGTAAGTTGAAATATCCGAGCTTCCACGCTAATCAAGATAAAACCGAACAGGCCTACAGCCTACATTAACGCTAGGTCACCTATCTTGTAGGTTTCCATGTCAATGTAGGCAGCAGGCCTGTTCGGGTTTCTTCTTGTATAACGTGCTTCTATCATAAGGAGTTGTTGCCATTGAGTAGCTAACACGTTTCGGTGAAGCGACCATGCGCAACTCTTCTTCATGTCGATCCTATTGA